GGTCCGAAGGAAAAGTTTCAGTCACAACAAATTGTACAAAAAATCTAAAAATATTTAAGCTTACATCTCATCTAACTTTTCCCCTCGCGCAAAGCTTCGTCGTACGGCCGAGACAAACATAGCGAGCAACAGAGCTTGTTGTATATGTGCTTGTTAAAACACACGAAAGGACTCCAAACGACACTTCCCTCTGATTGGGCAGAAAAACACAAAGATTTTCTGGCACCAATCAGATGCCAGAACGACTGCGACCGTTTGGAACTAGTCTTGTACGACAATGTCCCCAGGGGCTCTTCTGCCCTTAACTTGAAATCGCTTCACTGCCCCTGGGTCTCCGAGGATGCCCGACAAGCTGTTCAGCTTTAAACATTATCGTGTATAAATAAAGGTGTTATTATAATTGTTATTATTAAGAATTGTATAGCAGACAGTAAGGAAAATTACTAAGGAGATCTTGGGAGTGAAAACGTTATTTACCATGACATTCTTATAAAAAGAAACGACTAGCCATTAAATCAATGCATTCTTGAGTAAACCAACAAGTAGATACTGTATCAACATTTACTTAGAGAGAAGGGAACCTAGGGAGCAGAATGCTGAAGCAATGATTGTATGTTAGAGTAACATGAAAAAAAATTGCTTGACGAAGATAGGGGTGGTACAAATTCATGTAGCCCTAAAGATCCACAAGACTTTCCTGGGCTCAACATAAACTTTTCAACTTACTAGCCTTTGAAGATAAAAATTAGTGATAATAATTTTGAACGACGTTTCGACCTCACTGAGGTCATTTTCAAGCTGATGAAAATGACCTCAGCGAGGTCAAAACGTCGTTCAAAATTATTATCACTAATTTTTATCTTCAAAAGCTTTTCTAAAAACTACTTCTCAAAACTTACTAGCCAAGTGACAAATGACAACATAGATGTTAGAACAATTTTGGTTTGTTTACTTGCCAAACTGGTTGGTGGAAATTGAAAACCACTAGCCAAACTGAATTTCTACTAGTCCCTGGCTAGTTAGCTACTGTTAGTGTCGAGCCCTACTCTTCCATATTGGAGGGGGGATTGCTTGCTAGCTTTGTTTTGAGTTTGCCCTCTCTTCACATTTAGCCACTTTACCTGTTCTCTGACCATAATTTATTGTATTTCTACCATATAGGATCTGGTGTTGTCACACGTAGACCATTGATTCTTCAGTTAGTTCACACTCCACCAAAGATTAAGACCACAGCTTCAAAGAAGTCAACCAAAGTAGAGAAACCAAAAGGTGTAGAAGATGATGAAGAAGGAGAAGCTTGTGAGTTTAATAATTTGTTACTAAACAGGTTTCCTTGAAACATTTTGCTAGTCAAGTTTTCTATCAGTGTTGATGGAAAAAATTAATGTCACAATTTTTGTCATAAACAAGTTACCTTGTCCTAAAAGAAGACTTGCCAGTAATATAGATCCAGACAAGAGTGCTTGCCAAAGACACTTTTTAAGTTTTATGGGAAATTTAAGAAACTTTTTCATGACCTATTCTTGGCACTCATTTTGTGGGGACAAGTGAAAAAAGGGAGCAAGGCAGAGAAACAGCAAGGTGGACCTTCTCAGAGCTCCTTGATATTTGCCTGCTCACTTTTTTACTCATCTCCTCTGACCAAGAGTATGGCATAATAGCTAAGTTCCCCTCAACAAGTGTCTCTTTGCTGAGGTATTATAATAATGAATTTTTCTTTAGAGAAACACAAATGCACATTTAAAAAATGCAGCTTTGAAAGCTCTTTTTTATGTTGATTTTTCATCCAATCTATTGCCTTAAATAACATTCTTTCAATTTCATACATGATAGATTTTTCAGATGATGAAGGTGAAGAAACTGAAAAGGATGATGAAGATCCAGAGGAATGGGGAAAGTTCCTTCACCTGAAAGAAAGAGTAAGTTTGATTATTCTCTCTGGAATGATAAGTTTGAAACGTTGATCTATACTTTTAAGACAGTTTTCCTTCAAGGCAATTCTAATGAATCAGATGAAATGTCTGGAAAAAGGTAGAAGGAGATTTTGAGAGTAACAGAACTTAGGATGATAGTAATGTGGATTTTAGAGGTGCCCGTGTCCGTTGCACTGCTTCTTTCATGTCAAAGGTGTCAGGGCTTGACACTAACAGTAGCCAACTAGCCACAGACTAGTGGTTTTAGATTTCCACTAGCCAGTTTGGCTTGTAAACAAACTGAAATTGTTGTTGCATCCAAGTTGTCGCTAGCCACATGGCTAGTAAGTTGAAAAGTTAGTGTCGAGACCTGGGTGTAAACTTGCTAAATTGCTTTTTTTTTTTCTCTTCAGAAAATAACTGACTTTAGTGAAATATGCGATGAAATAGAACGGGAAACTGAAAGAGTGACTGGAAATAACAAGGTTTGTATGTTATTTTTTATCCTGTTGTAGCTTCTACTTACACATGCTGTAGCAATCGTAATTTTCATGGCTTCCCAACAATTAATTAGAGCAAAAATCTTTGAATGAAATAATCAAAATTCACAGAGCTATGATTGTCTACCTAGCTCCCTGGAGCCCATACTAATCTTATAATTCCAATCACCAGTAATTCTCTCAACTAACTGCACAAGCATACCTGAAGAAAGGTATTATTTGATGTGATAAGAGTACAGGACAAAGAAAATTACATCTTGTCATCCATGAGGGACTAAGATTTTTTCCTAGCTTGTCCCAGTCTTGTTTTTAAATAAATGACGTCTGTCTTTACATGACAACTGAGCTCAAACTCGGCCATCTTCTCTTTTGGCTGTACTTACTATTACCATATGGCCCACATAAGGCTCAGAAATAGAGTAGCAATAGAAGTACTTCATTTCTCAGAAATGATGGAATAAAAACCAAGCCTGATTTCTTCAGTGAGTCATTTGAGGTGCACTCTGTATTTGTGAACTTTTCTCCTTCTGTTAGGTTCTGAAAATACAAATTTAATTATAATTAATTTATCATTTGCTTTAAGGAAATATGTAATCATCATGATCTATACCTGGTGAAAACGGACAGCTCTGGTTCATTTTTTTAGGGAATTTCAAGTGAGCCAATCAGACTGAAGATTTATTCACCAAAAGTTCTGAATTTAACACTGGTAGATCTTCCTGGAGTGACAAAAGTTAGTACTTGTTATATTTTAGGGTCAAATGTATCTTTTTCTTTATTTTTTCTTGGGTCTTTATCAAAAATGAAAATTAAAAAATTATATTTTATTTGTTAGAGATGAATAATTCCAACCATTGCAAACTCAGTGCTAAGGGCTAACAACAAGGAGATAAACCTACAATGTAGTAGCATTCCACCCAGAGGGTGTAGCAGAACTGTAGATCACTTCTTAACAAATGGTAAACACCACAGCGTACACTATTGAGTTATGGATGCACCCAGGAGGTTGCTAAGCAAGAAAGAAGCATAAGAGTCGCTCGAGGCAATAGCCGAGAGCGACTCTAGCTTCTTGAGTGCTTAGCAAACCTCCCAAGTGCATCCATAACTCAATAGTGTATGCTGTGGTGTTTACCATTTGTTTTATAACATAACATTGATACATTGTAGCTAAAGAGTTCCCTTTTATTTAACAAATCTTACCTGACCAGAAAAACAAGCGCACGCGGAATAATAGCCTTTGCATTTGCTCACATCAGCAGCGTACACCCATGGGCAAATCGGGGACGCTAAATTGACCAATCAGAGCGTGCACTGTACTTTGGTTATGTTATAGATGCTTCTAATAGCAAGACAAGCTGCAACAGGATAAACCAAGATCTGATTGTTAATTCGCCCTTGTAGTTACTAAACATTTCCTTGTAAATTAGTTGGGAGAATTTGACGTAAGATCGAGATAACACCATCTGGATAAATTTTTGTATTCTCGCTACCTGTTTGCAGATAATTTATGAATATTATAGGGAGCATTTACAAGTTTATCAATTCTGGAAGTTAAAAGGTTAATTGTCCTTTAGTAATGAAAGTAGGGGTCATTTCTATTTTCAATATTTTTCCTACAGGTCCCTGTTGGAGATCAGCCACTAGACATCGAGCACCAAATTCGTCACCTTATCCTTCAATACATCAGCAATCCCAACAGCATTATTCTCGCTGTTACACCTGCTAACATCGACCTTGCTACATCAGAAGCCATCAAGATTGCCAGAGAGGTTGATCCAGATGGTAAGACCCCTGCCCAATCATATTCATTTGGCCATTTCACAATGCACTGGCTACTTGACATCATAAGTGTCGTTAATTTGCATTTTACTACCAGTGAAAGTTTGTTTTAACTGGTAGATGTTTAATGTATGCATTGCTGTATGATTTCGCAGATTCTGATGTTTTGTTTATAGTTTTGTTGTTGCTGTTGTTCTTATTTGTTGTTCTCATGATTCCCATTGTTTGCCCTAAGAACTGAGGAGTGGAATGTTTCGGGCAGGAAAAAGGTGGCACTCCATCTCATGTTTTCTCTCAACAGCCTCCATTCCATGCTGTTGTTTTATATGCAAAGACCATAGAGCATATGAAAAAATAACTAGTGTGTGAATAGATACATTTTCTGCTTTTAACTTCTTCAAAGGAAACAGGACACTTGCCGTTTGTACCAAGTTGGACCTAATGGACCATGGCACTGATGCTTTAGATATTCTGTTTGGAAGAGGTAAAAGAAAAACAAGTATTTGATTATCCTTTATCAAAGTGAGGCACAGTGGCCTCATGGTTAGTGCACTCAACTCTGGATCGAGTGGTCCAGGTTTGAGCCCTGTCCATGGACATTGTGTTGTGTTGTTGAGCAAGACACTTTACTCTCACAGAGCTTCTCTTCACCCAGGTGTTTAAATGGGTACCAGTAAATTTAATACTGGGGGGAGGGGGTAACCCTGCAATGGACTAGCTTCCCTTCCAGCAGGGAATAAACAGACTTTACCTTTACTTTTATCCTACGTTAAATTTGTCATCCAAGTCTCCTTCATTGTCAAGAATG